AAAAATTGGTTTCTTTGATTTAAGAGATATTACTAATAAAACATATCTTTTACCTTTAGAAAACGTTTTTTTACAACAATGTGATCAAAAATTAGAAATTTAGCAAAACTTTTTCGATTATTGAAATAAATTAATTTATTTCAATAAATATTATTTAAAGCTAAAAAAATCAGTATTTTACTTAGAAAAATAAATTGAAATAAAATATTTTTAAACAATTTCAAGTAAAAAATAAATATCCTGAACAATTAATTTTGATTGAAAATCAGTTATTATATTTAGTAGAATACAAAAAATAGCTCCTCCTACTTTAAGAAAGTAATTTTTTATTCGTTGGTTCAATAGCACAAAAAAAGAGTGAATATTTAATGTTTAAATGTTACATTTAGTCTTAACTCCTTAAGAAAAAAAAGACTTCTGGCCAATAAAAATAAACACCTCCTATTTTCAAAGTGCAATTGTTTATTTGTTGGTTGAGTTAAAGAAAATGGAGAAAGTGATTAATGTTTGAAAAATAACACATATTACTATATCTGTTATAGAAAGAAAAGAAAAAATTAATGATTTAGACTAATAAAAATAATAAACAAACTCCTCTAATTTTCAAAATCAATATTTCTATCTGTTTGTTGAGTTAAACAAAATGTAGAAAAAATTATATTTAAATTTATAATTCCAACCCCCAAAAGAAAAAATGGATGTTCAGGACCAATTAAAATAAAATTAAAACTCCTCCTTCTTAAAGAAAAATATTTCTTATTTGTGGCTTCAATAGAACAAAATGCAGAAAATAATAATATTTAAAAAAGATAAAATTTAGTCCCAACCCCCAAAAGATAAAATGGATGTTTAAGACCAATTAAATTAAAATTTAAACTCCTCCCTCTCAATAAAAGCTACTTTCTATTCGTGTGTTCAATAGAACAAAATAGAGAAAATATCAAACTTTAAAAAATTTAAGTCTTAACCCCTCACGAAAAAAAATGCTATTAGCCAATAAAAAAATTAAACTTCTCCTACATTTTTATTCATTGATTCAGTTAAACAAAATGGAGAAAAAATTATTATTTAAGAAATAAAACGCATATAATTTCAACCCCCAAAAGAAAAAATGGATGTTCTAGACCAAGTAAATAAAATTTAAACTTCTCCTTCTTTATCAAAGCTTTTTTCTATTTGTTGGTTCAGCTAAACAAAATAGAGAAAATATCAAACTTTAAAAAACATAAGTCTCAACCCCTCATGAAAAAAAACTGATATTAGCCAATAAAAAAATCAAACTCCTCCTACAGTTTTATGTATTGGTTCAGTTAAACAAAATGGAGATGAAATTAAAATTTAAAAACTTAGTTTAATATTTTCTCCATTTGGTTATATTGAAGAACTCTCCGTCTTTAAGAAGGAGGAGTTAAAATTTTATTTTAATTGGTCTAAAACATCCATTTTTTCTTTTAGGGGTTGGAATTATATGTTTAATTTCTTAAATATAAATTTTTTCTCCATTTTGTTTAGCTGAACCAACAAATAGAAAAAAGCTTTGATTAAGAAGGAGAAGTTTAAATTTTATTTTACTTGGTCTAGAACATCCATTTTCTCTTTTGGGGGTTGAAATTATATGCGTTTTATTTCTTAAATAATAATTTTTTCTCCATTTTGTTTAACTGAACCAATGAATAAAAATGTAGGAGTAGTTTAATTTTTTTATTGGCTAATAGCAGTTTTTTTTCGTGAGGGGTTGAGACTTATATTTTTTAAAGTTTGATATTTTCTCTATTTTGTTCTATTGAACACACGAATAGAAAGTAGCTTTTATTGAGAGGGAGGAGTTTAAATTTTAATTTAATTGGTCTTAAACATCCATTTTATCTTTTGGGGGTTGGGACTAAATTTTATCTTTTTTAAATATTATTATTTTCTGCATTTTGTTCTATTGAAGCCACAAATAAGAAATATTTTTCTTTAAGAAGGAGGAGTTTTAATTTTATTTTAATTGGTCTTGAACATCCATTTTTTCGTTTGGGGGTTGAAATTATAAATTTAAATATAATTTTTTCTACATTTTGTTTAACTCAACAAACAGATAGAAATATTGATTTTGAAAATTGGAGGAGTTTGTTTATTATTTTTATTAGTCTAAATCATTCATTATTCTTTTCTTTCTATAACACATATAGTAATATGTGTTATTTTTCAAACATTAATCACTTTCTCCATTTTCTTTAACTCAACCAACAAATAAACAATTGCACTTTGAAAATAGGAGGTGTTTATTTTTATTGGCCAGAAGTCTTTTTTTTCTTAAGGAGTTAAGACTAAATGTAACTTTTTAAACATTAAATATTCACTCTCTTTTTGTGCTATTGAACCAACGAATAAAAAATTACTTTCTTAAAGTAGGAGGAGTTATTTTTTGTATTCTACTAAATATAATAACTGATTTTCAATCAAAATTAATTGTTCAGGTTATTTATTTTTTACTTGAAATTGTTTAAAAATATTTTATTCCAATTTATTTTTCTAAGTAAAATACTGATATTTTTAGCTTTAAATAATATTTATTGAAATAAATTAATTTATTTCAATAATCGAAAAAGTTTTGCTAAATTTCTAATTTTTGATCACATTGTTGTAAAAAAACGTTTTCTAAAGGTAAAAGATATGTTTTATTAGTAATATCTCTTAAATCAAAGAAACCAATTTTTTCAATGTTTACTATATTTATACATCATTTTGAAACTTCGCGCGTTTATCCAAATCAGTTCCTTTCGTTCCGCCGTTCAGAATATGATCGTAGTGAATCGTAGTCTGCTACAAGTATCACGCATGTTACCAATGCATTGACAGGTCTCACAGTTCGCATATTTATCATTAATAATTGAACAATTTACGATTTAATACAACTTGAATAATGGATAAATCGACTGTAGAATAGTTAATTTATTAATTATAAGAGCTTTTTCTAACATTGTGACTTTCGTAAGTGTAATATTTGTGCATTTTTCTTAATAATGTCGTCTATTAATCTAGTGATATTTTGGTAACATTTTTACCCATTTCAATATTACCCTCTACAATTTTTACCCTTTACCCCAACAACTTTTACCCATTACCTTTGTTACTTTTTACCATCCATTTTTTCTGTATATATATATCTGCCGAGAATTGGGCGATTGACCCCGAAAATGACCGAAGATTTCCGAAGGTGTCAATCGCCAAATCCTCAATGCAGACGCGACACTTGTCAATTGCTCTCGTTACGTTGTTAATCGGTCCCGTGTCTCGGCTTGTTGTTCGACTAAGTGTATGTGAGTTGAAGTAAGTTAAATAAATAGTTTTTATTTTATCTAACGTGTTTTCACTTTACTCTCCTTTCTCCCCCTTTTCCCTTAATTATAATTGGAGATCTTGGCCTCCAATTATAATTAAGGAAAAAAGGTCGCGTCTGTTTTCGAATTTGGCGATTTACACCCTCGAGGCCCTTCAGCCGTTTCCGGGTTCAATCGCCTGATTTGTAACAGACGCGGGAATATTTGTAACGCCACGTTACAAATTTTATGTTTACTATTTCCATAAATTATTGGGTGAGACGGCCATTAATGACTTTTATTTAAAAATTTTTATGTTAATGTTAGATACTTAAGAAATATTAAAGAAAAACAAATTAAAAATGTCTGAGAACAAAATAATTCATCTAATTAACACCAGAGATGGAGATATATTTGTACGTTGAGTCGAAAGTTACAAATCAAACGACATTGAATGAAGATTGGATTCAGTGCAGTATTTGAAATTTTTGACTACATGAAAACTGCACTGAATCCCATAATAAATGTTCAGAATGCGACCAGAATAAGAGAAAAGTAATTTTGAACGATTAAAAACTAAGTTTAAGCTAAAAGTCAAAAATTATAAGCATTGGCCATCTCTCCCGGACATACCGGGAGAGATGAACAAATGCACTTTTTACAAAATGTAAATTTTGAGATTGTTCCTATAAAAATATTTTATTTTTCGTTACTTTGAAGTTAAGTGTTCATTGTTTAATTGACATAATTTAGGATTACCCAAAAACGGCCACACTTTACGTAAGAAAACAAAAAAAACAACTCTGATAAATAAAAAGAAAATAAACTAAAACTTAAAAAAATAATTTGAAACTAAAGAACAAAAATACCTTTCCGTGTCCTCGGCCGGCACGTGAGAGCATAGCCGTCGTTGAACCTGAGATCGATGAATTGCGAAAGTCAATTAATAAATTGATTATTTACAATCTTCATCGACCCCACGATTCAACCCGCCAATCCCCACTCTACCCCGATTATCAGAGAACACGGAAATTAACTCGAATTTAGCAAATACTCACATTTTTTAGGAGTCAATGACAATAATCCCCTACGAGATTATATCGCTTCAAGTCTCAATTAAAATAATTAATTATGAAGAATAATTGCATATTTGATACAAATAAATATTTAGTTATTTCAAAAAAATTATTTTTTGATGCAAATAATTAATATTTATTTGAATTAAAAACTATGCATTATTGAATCAAGTAATTTTCATTACTGATTTAAAGCAATATTTATTAGATTAAATTATTCCATTTATTTCATTTAAATAATTCGTATTTGGCACAAATAACTACTTATTTGATACTATAAATTAAAATATTTATGTCCAGTAAATATTTACTTAGCACAAATAAATAAAAACAAATAAGTTTAATTACAACCGAACGAGCGTTAGCGAGTTAGGTATATGTAGCTAGTTTGTAATAAAGATAAAGCGTCATCATTGAAGCGACCTTCAATGCGTCATTATTCTTTAGGAACGAATCATTCAGAGCTTTAAAGAAAATTTGTAGGAGTTTTTTGGTTACCCTAACATAATTTTTTACGTATATACATGCTAAGGCCATGTGATACATTATGACATATTTATTATGATTATAAATTTTTTGTTATTTTACCAATAATCATAATGTATCTTTTGCGCTTCAGAAAAATCTGTGATCCTCACCTGACGGCATTCGAGCCAGAGGCTCTAGGTAATTTAGTCGAGGGAATGGAGTTTCACAAGTTTTACTTTGATAATGGTAATTATACCTCATTTGCATACACACTGTAATTGCTAATAAAATACCCTCACGCTCTTTTAAGTTTTCGTTTTAACCCTTTGCTATCCCTGCTTACTAAAAATTCAAGCATGTGAATTTTATTCTAAACGATGTTTCTCTAAATTCACCCTCATTTACACAGGAAAAAAAAGTCTGACTCCGTTTACACCTTAAATTCAGCCCATGTATTTCACATAAGTCTGTCCTTGTTTAACGGGGCTGACTCCGTTTACACCTTAAATTCAGCTTCAAAAATAGGCTAAGGCCGCAGTCCCATGGCAGCGTTTTGCGTTGCGTTGTAATAAGAGAGAATGCAGCAAACGTATATTTGCGTCTTTTTCTCTCCCATTACGACGCAACGCAAAACGCTGTCATGGGACTCCACCCTAATGCTGACTCCACACTTACCCAGTCGCTCCGCTTTTCCGTGGCGCTTCGCGTGAGACAGAAAAAGATAGAGATAGTATCTGTCTTTTTCTATCTCACGCAAAGCGCCACGGAAAAGCGGAGCGCTGGGTAAGTGTGGAATCAGCATAAGGCTGTGTTTACATGCTTGCGTTCAAACGCTGCGTTTTGCGTTGAGCAGTGAGTGTAAGAAGGACAGAAGTATATGTCTTTCTTTCTCTATCTCATTATTCAACGCAAAACGCAGCGTTCGAACGCAAGCATGTAAACACCGCCTAAAAGTAAGACTTTTTTTTAGTGTGTATTTAAATGAGGCTGAAGTCCCATGGCAGCGTTTTGCGTTGCGTTTTGTAACTAGGCAATGAGTGTGAGAGAGATGGAGATATATGTTTGCTATATTTGCACTCATGGCCTAGTTAAAAAACGCAACGCAAAACGCTGTCATGGGACTCCACCCTGATGCGTAAGGCTGGAGTCCCATGGTAGCGTTTTGCGTTGCGTTTTGTAACTAGGCAATGAGTGCAAATAGAGCAAACCTATATCTGTATCTCTCTCACACTCATGGCCTAGTTACAAAACGCAACGCAAAACGCTACCATGGGACTCCACCCTTAGTTTAATAATAAGGTAAGTTCCCAAATGCGCCACCGGTCAAATGCGCCACGGATCAATTGCGCCACTGGACAAAAGCCCCACATTGGTCATATTTGAGGAAAGTGAAAAGTTTGCTCGAGAGATGGAGCTAGGTGTTCTTGGTATAGAAATTTGTCAAGTGAATTGAGGATAACATTTTTGAGGTAAGTTGCTGTTTTTATTTTATATTAATAATAATAATAATAATAATAATAAATATTATTATTATTGTTTAAAGAAATGTGGAAATTTTTTTTAATAACTAATTTATGAAACATTTTATTTTTAAATCGTTTTTATTTATATTTTTTCTTTGGAATAATTTAATAAAGTACTTAAGTTTTCTTGAAGACAAATAAAATATAATTTATTAACAATTGTAACATTGAATATAATTATATTTTCTAATTTGAATTTCATTTAATTAATTTTTTAAATTAGCTAACGTAAAAGTATTTCTAAATTCACGTTCATACTTTTAGAAATGATAAGACTTCTTATAAAGTTTCAAATCGAGGGGGAATTTACTCAGGGAGTCAAGTGTACACTCTCTTGGTAATACTTGGTAATACTTGGTAATACTTAGTAATGCCTGGTCATACGTACATTCTTTAAAAAACTTAAAAAATTTACTATCATAAACAATTACATTTGTTATAAACAAATGATTTACTTATTAAACAAATAAATGGCATATTTCTGCAAAAAGAAAAACTGTTTTTCTTGTTTTTACAAGTTTAAAGTCATGTAAAGCTCTACTTGATTATTGGTAACTAGATAATTGTTCATGTAATTATTGTTAATAACAATTGTAATTATTAAATTCAAAATAACTTTTTAGCAAAATAGACTTAAATTACATAAATAATTTTTGTTTGCAAAAAAAACAATTGTTTTATGAACAATGACTAAAGTTATCTATTTGTTAATTAACATTGTTTTCAACAATTTAAATAAATTGCATTATATATTATTATTTATCTGGTACACATACTAGACTAATTTAAATTGATTTCGATCATGTTCAATGGAAAAATTAAAAAATAAACATGATTTTTTCTAAAAATATTGTAAATTGTTAACTTTGAGTAACATAAAAATATAAACAAATAAAAATTCAAAAATCGGTTTAGAGGAATCTGTTATAAATTTTATCTTCTTTAATTTAAGTTTCATACTCGGAGACGTTTAAGGAATATAATACAATTTTAATTTTTTTGTTAGGACGTGAAGAACATATTTCTTTATTAACATTTTATAAACAAATAATATAAAAAATTTAAAAAACAATATTCAAATAGTGTAATTTAAGACGAAGAAACACATATTTTGATTTTTAAATCCGTTAACTGGAACTCAAGAAAAAAAATTTTTTAATTTAGCAATACTAAAAAACTCAATATTGTTAATAACTTTTACAAAAAAAATTTTTTGGCTTAATATTTTCAGGGATTATTCTTAACTACATTAAGAGTATAACAAATATATTTTGATTCAAAATGAGAATTTTTTCGATTTAGGTGATCCGTTTGGGAAATTCTGACCCTTAAAAGAAAATTCAAACCAATTGAAATGATATTTTTTTATTTACGTTTTAAAAAAGAGAAAATTCACAATTAAATAATTATTGTCTTTTGTATGTACAAAATATTTAATTATTTATTTCTCTGCGTTTCATTGTAGTTTCTATTTTAAATAATTTTGTTGTAAATTCTACGTATAAGAAAGTAAAATTCAATGTGTTATATTTTTGATAATACAGCTTAATGCTTAATAATATGTGAGTAATAAATAATAATACAGCAAAGATTTTAATATTTAAATGCGGGAATATTTTGGAAATAATAGGTAATACTTGGTAATAAGTGGTAATACTTGGTAATACTTGGTAATACTTAGTAATACTCGGTAATACTTAGTAATACTCGGTAATACTTGGTAATAATGATAATAAGTGAAACAGGGAGTCAAGTGTACACTATTTTTACTAGTAAATTCCCCCTCGTTTCAAATATTACGGAAGTTTAGAAAAATTATTCCAATTTTTATTTTATAATTAATGGTATTTATATTAAAAACAGTAATATTTTAAAAAATAATTTTTTTTTGGAAACGTAATATATAAGAAAAGCAGGCTTCGCACTCATCTACTAAAATCTATACTATTTACTCCTTTTTTTGTCAAATTTCTGACACTAAAAGATACATTTTCACAAATGACATTAGTTTTAATCCTCTAATGATTGAAAAAAAATTATTCTCAATCAATTTTTTGTGATTCGATTAAAACGAGATTTTTTTAATCTTCAAATTTTAATTTTTCGATTGCTACTTTTTACTACTATTTTCAGATTTAAAGCTACTTTCTGCTACTTTTTTAAAAGTAATTGTCGAGTGCGAAGCCTGAAAGAGTAATAATTTATTAATTATTTGACAATGGTATTGAATTCTATAAATATTTCATTATTTTAACCTCTTAAAATATGTGACTTCCTTTTTTTAGATTCTGATCAAAGTGAAGCTCTGATGATTAAAATCGAGCCTTAAGATGTAGTGACGATAAAAAAAAGTTATAAATAATTGGGCATCACAGACCGTTAGAATTTTAAAAATTATATTAAAGCCAAATAATGTAATTAAAAGTTTTAAAAAATATGGTAAAATTGAATCTCAATTTTTTGACCAAATTTTGTAACTTTATTCGTCAATTAAATTCTTTTTAAATAAAATCCTTATTTACCCCTTTATTATTGCTAAATTAATATCTATCCTATCTCTCAAAAATATTAAACAAAAACAATTACAAATTGCATTATTCTATAGAAAAATTATAGAAACATTATATTAATAAGTATAGAAAAATTATAAAGTGAGTATAAAAATTGTAATATAATTAAGAATATAAATTTATTGGCAAAAAAATTATTTTATTGCCAAAATGCAGACGCCAATCGACTTTTAATCTTAAAAATCCGCTTGGAAGCGTGAAGTTTCCAACAAAACAAGGAGTAAATAGTATAGATTTTAGTAGATGAGTGCGAAGCCTGCTTTTTTTATATATTACGTTTCAAAAAAAAATTATTTTTTAAAATATTACTGTTTTTAATATAAATACCATCAATTATAAAATAAAAATTGGAATAATTTTTCTAAACTTCCGTAATATTTGAAACTTTATAAGAAGTCTTATCATTTCTAAAAGTATGAACGTGAATTCAGAAATACTTTTACTTTAGCTAATTCAAAAAATTAATTAAATGAAATTCAAATTAGAAAATATAATTATATTCAATGTTACAATTGTTAATAAATTATATTTTATTTGTCTTCAAGAAAACTTAAGTACTTTCTAAGTTTAAAATAAATGCAATTAATTTATAATTATGAAAGTAAAAAATAAAGAATTCTTAATCTCGTTATTTAATTAAAATACAAACTAATTCTATAAAAATAAAGAGCTTTTGAAAATATCAAAAAATCTTATTATTAAAGCAATTATTAAATTATTCCAAAGAAAAAATATAAATAAAAACGATTTAAAAATAAAATGTTTCATAAATTAGTTATTAAAAAAAATTTCCACATTTCTTTAAACAATAATAATAATATTTATTATTATTATTATTAATATAATATAAAAACAGCAACTTACCTCAATAATGTTATCCTCAATTGATATGGAACATTTAATTAATTACCATTTAATTAACAGTTCAATTAAATTTATTTTCACTATACGGAGCGAAATTGGCAAGAAATTGAATTCACTTGACAAATTTCTATACCAAGAACACCTAGCTCCATCTCTCGAGCAAACTTTTCACTTTCCTCAAATATGACAAATGTGGGGCTTTTGTCCAGTGGCGCAATTGATCCGTGGCGCATTTGACCGGTGGCGCATTTGGGAACTTACCTAAATGTTAAATATATTAATCAAGAATAGAAAACATTTTTATAAATTATAATAATTAGTATATTTTTGGCGCTAATTAAAAATAATTAGACTGCTCTTCTAATCATAAAATGTATCAAATCTCATACCTATTTTATAAATCGTAATTAAGGTTATTGTGTTGAATATTTGTGTTGTATCATTTTTACAGATAAAATTATCATACACCCATTTTATAATTGGAATTTTTAGGTTTTCATTTTGCTGAAGCTATATATTGGAGAAAAAGATATCACATTTATTCGACTCACAGTTTCTCATCACTTTTCTTCGCTTTTTATTGTAATTAAAAACACTTGTACACGTTCGTTTATAAACTTTAAGAAACTTTTTTCATTAACTTGCTCGCACATAAGTTTTTCAATTTTTCCACTATCTTTTTGCGATTTTTTATCAAATGAAAGAAATTGCTGATTGTTTTTTTCATAATTGTATATTGTTTTTTATCCTACTGTTCTTAAACGCATGACAGAAATGCTTTCTCTCTTTCTTGAAATACAAATGTATTAAACTACTTGAACGGATTTGTTTTTCATTTATAAGTAGTCCTGGGGAAAAACTGCAAGGCTGTCAATACGACGATTCTCAATCCCCACGTCCACCTTCTCGGTGAAGATGCAGCCTGTATTGCTTACGTCAGACTCACCCAGTATATGGATAAGTATGTATTTTAAGATTTAATTTTTTCATAATTTAGTTTTAATTATTGTTCAATACACACCATTAGAACTCGACTGACTATTAACCCACATAGCACCATAGTATGAGGTAAGGTTATGTTGAGTACTAATCGTAAGGCACATAAGGTTACACAATATTGCTGCGGTAGACCTGAGGTGAACTAAAAACTTCCGCCATGGAGGTAAGGTTACATGTTAGGGTGTGGTGAGTATATATGATAAGGCCATGGTAACCTTACACGTTAAGGTTAAGGTAACCTTACACGTTAAGGTTGATGTAACCTTACACGTTAAGGTTGAGGTAACGTTACATGTTAAGGTTGAGGTAAGGTTACATGTCAAGGTTGAGGTAAGGTAATTATTAAGTTGTAAGGTTGAGGTAAGGTTAAGGTAAGGTTGTGATAAGTTTACCAGTTATAGAAAATATTGAAAAAATAATTAATAAATAAATATTCAATTAAAAAGTTAGTTTGTTGCTCCTCTCTATTTTGGAAACCTGACATGAAGCAGAAAATTTTGAAAACAAATTTGGGGGGACTGGGATTTGAACCCGGGATCGACGCGCATAAACCTATCATTCTAACTAACTGAGCTAAGTAGAGAACTGGCAGAAGGAAAATTAATGTTGCCTTTAAGGTGAACCAAGAAGATGATTAACTCCTTAAAGGCAATATTAATTTTCCTTCTACCAGTTCTCTACTTAGCTCAGTTAGTTAGAATGATAGGTTTATGCGCGTCGATCCCGGGTTCAAATCCCAGTCCCCCCAAATTTGTTTTCAAAATTTTCTGCTTCATGTCAGGTTTCCAAAATAGAGAGGAGCAACAAACTAACTTTTTAATTGAATATTTATTTATTAATTATTTTTTCAATATTTTCCATAACTGGTAAATTTATCACAACCTTACCTTAACCTTACCTCAACCTTACAACTTAATAATTACCTTACCTCAACCTTGACATGTAACCTTACCTCAACCTTAACATGTAACGTTACCTCAACCTTAACGTGTAAGGTTACATCAACCTTAACGTGTAAGGTTACCTTAACCTTAACGTGTAAGGTTACCATGGCCTTATCATATATACTCACCACACCCTAACATGTAACCTTACCTCCATGGCGGAAGTTTTTAGTTCACCTCAGGTCTACCGCAGCAATATTGTGTAACCTTATGTGCCTTACGATTAGTACTCAACATAACCTTACCTCATACTATTGTGCTATGTGGGAACTAATTGCACTCAGAAGAGGAATTCTATAATTTTCCTCATCGCTGTCAAGAAAATCATTAAGATGAAGAACAAGGATTTGATTATATTTCACTTACTTTGGTATATGTCATTTTTAGTTAGACAGAACATGTACGTTTACAAGAACACGTGCATTTTCTTGTAAATTGTCTTTGTTCTAATTACATTTACAAATACCTTTGCTCTTTTTGTGCAGAAATATGTTCCTATGTTTCTATAAAATGTTTAAAAATGAAAATGTTTCTGAAAATGTACACGATCTTGTGCAAGATTTTATAACTGGATAAGCAATATGACTAGTCGGGTCAATTGCTTCACAATTTTGTTGAGAAACGGCGTTCTTGAATCTCAAAAAAGAAGAAGTAGTCTTGAGGCAACAAAGGACTCGAAAAAAGGAAGCAGGGGGAGAAACCTTCTAATCACAATGTGGGCAAAATAGTTGACAGATCGTCGAAATCAAGCCAAGATAGTATAACGAAAGTTTTATATACAAGTCACACTTTAAATAAATTGTTTTAAATAAAAAATAATTAAGTAATTTACATACACATACAATTAATTAAATTCGAGATTTAATGAAAATATATTTTAATCATTCAAACATTAAAGGAGGAGGGTCAATAAGGCCGATTTTCGGGCTCAGACGTCGCACTTTTTTTATTGTATTTCTGAATAGTAGATGTCAAGAGCTTTCCAAAACACACAATAAAACCGTTTTTCGTTGAGACAAGTGGCAGTTATGCTTGATCAAAGTTCGAGTAACGTTGCAAAATGCTTACTATATGAAATCTTTAGAAACGAAAGCAGTTAAATGAAACTTGTTACTTTAGGGTTTTTAAGGTCGCTGATCACGAATCTGATGTTATTTTTAAAAATCCAATATGGCGGATCTAAAATATCAAACGAAAAAAATTAAATCTTAAATGAATATTTTGGAAACTTGTTACTCTAACATTTTGAAGGTCGTTGATGACGAATCTGATGTTCTTGTGTCGAAGGTGGAAGAAATTACCATTCTCATCTAAATCAATTGATGATTGAGTAGAAGAGTGTAGAAAATAAAATATTTTAATTGAAAAATAATATTCCATTCACATTCATCGACTATCCAAATATCAAGATTTATAAAAATCCAATATCAACTTCATTTTTTGGTTTTTGAGAACTGGTATCAGATTTGTAATCATCAACCATGAAAACTTCCTCTTAACAAGTTTTTAGCAGGTTCAATTAAATTTGAATGTTTCTCCTCAGCCATATTGGATGTACCATCATAGATTTTTAAAAACTGACATCAGATTCGTCATCAACGATCATCAAAATGTTAGAGTAACAAGTTTCTAAAATATTCATTTAAGATTTAATTTTTTTCGTCCGCTATTTTAGATCCGTTATCTTGGATTTTTAAAAATGACATCAGATTCGTGATCAGCGACTTTAAAAACCCTAAAGTAACAAGTTTCATTTAACTGCTTTCGTTTCTAAAGATTTTATATAGTAAGCATTTTGCAACGTTACTCGAACTTTGATCAAGCATAACTGCCACTTGTCTCAACGAAAAATGGTTTTATTGGGTGTTGTTTTATTGGTTATTGGCTCTTGACATCTACTATTCAGAAATGCAATCAAAAAAATGCGACGTCTGGGCCCAAAAATCTGCCTTATTGACCCTCCTCATTATAAAAACAAAATTTAATACGCAATAAATATAATATAACATATAATCAACAATTTTCTCGTAGAATATGGTTGATGAAGACTCCAAGGTTTGTCAAATAAATACATTGGTCCGGACGCTTCGTATATTCGCCATATTGGAGTTGGCCACGAGGCGTACAATACAATCTCCTTACATTTGGTAAAACACCATAAAAGCGCCACACTATAAGAGATTTTTGTTGATTATAGATTAAAACAAAATATATTTTCCATCTAATCGCACTTAATTTACACATCAGCACATACCTGTACCTACAAGGTCTACGGCGACGCGCTTATCTTGTGGCGACAAGTCACTCTCAAGTACAATCTTACAAGTGTGGAAAACGTAACAAGAAATGTTTCACATGCTTTTCGTAAGGACTCGAATTTAAACGAAAGATTCCGAATTTGAGGAATTGGCGGGCAATTATTCCCACTACCACTCTAATCGAGCGTCTCGCTACATCTCTCTCTATATAAATCTGTTGTTTCTCTCTTCGTATATCCACTCAAGTGACTAATTCGCTTCAATAGGAAAGAAAAGGTCACAGCGAGAAACTGAAATTATTGTTAAGGTGACCAAAGGCAAAAGTTATAAGGAAGTGCTTAGGAAGCTTCGAAGAGAAGCAAACCTAGAAGCCAGTCAGACGAAAGTTATGGGGACAATGCCCACTAAGAAAAGAGACCTTTTAAAAATTGGAGCGTCTCCCAATTCACTGAGGAGGTGACAAGGATTGTCGGCGAACTTGGTAGGGTGCAGCCTGCGAGTCAAAAGGTTACTCTGTAGATTCGCGATCTGGATTGCCTTGCTGAGATAGCCGAAGTCGAAGAAAATTTCAAGATCATCATCAGCCGTTAGAGAAGTGACGGACATCTTAGGGCCCAACAAGCGTGGCTTGAAGATGGCTGTCATTTGGGTAAAAGTCTTGTAAAGGAAACCCAAGCTGCTTCTTATGTAAGGAAAAGCACGACAACAAGGTTAATGTTAAACATGTCGCAGGCAAAAGAGTACTGCAAAAATCTTTCTGTAATCATTGATTCCTTTGGATACAAGATAGACGGAGATAGTCTTAGTGAAAGTGATTGGCCTCATTGATGGACAACTACAAAACCCTAGTTTCGTAGTTGTCAATAGAAGGGACTTTTAGTCAGTCCTCTTCGGTGTAAAAAAACATAAAGACAGATATGATAGCTTTTAATATTCCTACAGTAGTGGTTGAATGTTTAATTACTAGTTGAAGGTCATCCATCACAATATCTGCAAATAGTCCAGAAGTGGACAAACCCATAAATCTTAGGTAGACCATAAAATTTAGATAAATTAGTCTGTCAATTCAATATTATTGCAAACCCTGTCTAAAAGTTTTAATCCAGCGAATTGTAATAATTAATAACAATCATTTTCTAGCTTTGATAACGGATTTTTGGTAATTTTCTGCTTTGATTTCAGACAAGGTGTGGCGCACACTCAACAGAGCGAAGAAAGCCGAGTGTGGCATAAGAGGGACAATAAATGGCAGAACGTGCACTTCCATCGGAGCGCGGTGACGGGTCCGTCTCCGTTTTCCTTCAATCACAAATAAAATCCCCACGAAGGAATCAGCAAAGCAACAAAAGCAACAGTTAATAAACCACACTTTGTTGTCCCACTGGTGATTTTCGTACTAAGCGCGATTCAAATAATCGCCGGTACTCTCGCTCCAGTACCTGCTTAGCGTACTTATCTAATTTGCGTATATCAGATACGCGCGACTAATGAAAAATAAAAGTGGTGAAAAAGAAAAGAAATACAAACTGGATTTAAAAAAACATGGTGAAGCACAAGAAGGGTGTAGGGAAAGCAACTAGAATCGCGTTCTCCGTCGACAAATTCAGACTTTAATCCCAGGGATTCCCCAGGATGGTCCAGGATTTTTTTCGATGGGCCAACAAGCGTTAAGACTCCTATATGGATCGGATCGTTGACGATAAAAAAAACCTCTGCTTACAATTTATTATTAGTTAGTAACAAATTTGCGTAGAGAGTCGCTTAGTGATCTTCGGTCCGTTCGAGCCTTACAATCGACCAACGTGCCACCTATTTGCGTACGGGGTCTCTTCGCTCCGACTTTTGAGACCCTAGCCAAGACTGCTAAACAGTAAGGGCCAGCATTTCAGTCTCTATTTAAGCGTAAAATCTAATAATGTTCAAATTGAAACCGACATCTGCTTCGTTGTTGATCTCAATTCACAATTTAGAGATCACGTTGGATATAAAATCTTCTTACCTTTCTCGCTTTTCGACCGACGTCTTAAACTTCAGAAAATTATAAACCTCCCCCATTTGCACCAAGGAAAATCAACATTGATGCTAAAATTCTTCTTTTCCCCACACAAGAAAAAAACTTTCTATGTACCAAACAAATTTTCTATATCTAAAAAAAACTTTCTAATTACAAAATAATTTTTATGCCTGAGAAATTTGTGAATTTGTGGGGAAGGAAAGAATCTTTTTGGTGTTAATTTTTATTTTCCATTGAAAGTGTCTCGGAATCAAACAAAGACAGAGAAGGGGACGAAGTTGAAAACAAATCCTAAAAACTATTTCTCCTTTAGACGCATGTTTTTTCTCTTGAAAATCCTGTTCTCTATCTTTGAAAAATTACGAGTTCTCTCATTCGACTTTTATTTGATAACTAAGTTGGGTGTGCGATTTATCAAAAGTGCATATCCTTATAATGATAGTCGAATTTCAATGTAATAGATACGTTCGATAAACGATTGTCTTTGCTCGTATATTTTTTTCCAATTTTCCATACGAGCCAAGTCGAGTCTCGTACAAATATTATAAACGATAGTTCCTTTATACGAGGGAATTTTTATCCTGAGTCATTTACTTTTTATTGAACAAAAAAAATAAACCTGTGCTCGTCAATCTAATATATGCTGCTGATGATATTCGAGAGAAATTGTAACTTTTTTCTAGTATTAGAAATACTAAAGAAAAAATAGAACGATAAACGTAACAAGCTTATAAACATATTAAATTATCTGAAAATTATCGTAGAATTAAAATATAAAATACGAATATAAATAAATCATAAATTCAAAAGACAAATCATTTTTTAGACACCCAATTTTTAAAGAATTAGATACAATTCCTCTTTTATAAATAAAATTCTTTTATAGAAAAAACAAGTAAAAAATCAGAAAGTAAAGTTTATTTTAAAATCAAGTGTTCAATTAAACTAGAAATTTTTTTTGTTTCTAACTCGTTGACCAGAAACGAATTAATTCAATGACTTTATGCTCACGTAATTCTAAAGCTGACGACAAACTAGTACTCAAAGTGTCGATTCTATAAAAACCTAATAATTAATCGATGTTTCAATTCCCTCGTTATTCCGGATCGAAGATCAAATATCAAAAGAAAAGCACGCGATACTCTTCTTCTTCTCGTTATATCTAAAACAAATGTTTAATTAAAGTAAAAATAATTTCTTAGATACTTAATAAAAAAAGAGTTTAACGATTTATCAAAAGCCACCAATTGATAACTAAAATCGCACTTTTTTTTAAAATCCACCACAAAAACCTTCAAAATAAATTTTTTTTCAAAATTAGTAAATTTTAGATACTTTTTCTAAAAATGAAAGACAGCTCAATAAGGAAAAAAAGGAAAGTTGTAAAAACATTTTTGTGAAAATAGTCTGGTTTCCCTGCGAGTGAAGTGAAGAAAGTAAAAAGAAAAAGAAAAAAAATGACTGAAATAGACGAGCACAGAAAAAATAGAGCTTTTAACGGTATTTTAAAAATGCACACTCAGAGAGAGAGAGAGAGAGAGAGAGAGAAAAGAGAGAGAAAATAAACTGGAATATTTCCAGATCACACTATTACATTAGACAGACTCGATAAAATTCACGATTCAAATATTATCAATAGATTTTGAGAATTGATAAATGCTGCGTTTCTTATACGTAGGGGAGAGTCTCCAGTTGTGAGACACCTCCAGTTGTGAGACAGTCAATTTTTTTAACATGCAATATCAAAAAGCCGATTGGTTTATATAAAAACATTTCTTTTTATATTAGCCAACTTTTTCTTGCGTTTTTTCAATAAATGCAAAGTACTTTTTTTCCAAGTTAATTAATTGGAAAAGGTAAATGTAATGCATTTTCTTTTAGTGTTTTCCTTATATTTTGTGATGCAATATTGCATTGTACCAATCTACGGTTGAAAATAATTTAATTTTCCTTTTTCAAAATAGCGCCAATTTCTGGGTGTGAGACACAGCATATCACCAGTTGTAAGACGGTGTCGACACCCATCTGGGCAGCATAAAAAATACGACTTTGCAGACATACTATTTAAATGCTGTTTTGATTTTTGTTTCTAGTATTTTTGGGCATGTCAAGTGGAATTTAAAAGTCAATTGATTCAGAAGAAATCAATTTTAATGCTCTTGTTGAAGCTCATAAATTGTGTTTATTTGATAGTCATATTTTGGCAAATAAATATTATTATTTAGTATATAATAATATATATTATTAATATATTTAATTATTTCTACTAAACATAACGTTTTATGTCAAACTTATTAAATTTTAGCAATTTTTAATGAGTGTCTCACAACTGGAAACTTTTTTTTTTGACAAAAGCGATGTGCTCGGAAAATGTATCGTAAAATTTTTTGAGTTCATTGAAACACTACACTTTCTTTTAATAAAAGTTGCGTATTTCTGTTACCTTTCGAACGGTGTATTTTAATTACAATTTCGTTTACCCGTTTACAATTTACGGGTCAAAAATGAAACCCGTCTCACAACTGGAGACTCTCCCCTACTTGTTATACCTTTGGAAAACTTATTGCTACCTTCCAAAAAAAAAGAAAAACTGTAATTAATGAGCACCTAGGTAAGAACTACAATCACGAAATGTGAGAAAGAAAAAAAAACTAAAAAAATGAAAAAGAGAGAGAGAGGAGAGAGAGAAGTATTTCCGAAATTCATTTACAGATGCGATTTTCAAAACTACGAAATTTACAAAAATATCATCTGTAAATTGGATTCAACACTTCGTGTCTAATAATAATCATTGTACAGTAAAAAAACATTCTTCCATATAACTTTCCTCGAATTCATTCAATTACACCAATCATCCCCTTTTCTCATGCGACATTTTTCAAGAAATAAAATAATAAAAGTAAAAAAAATGTTCACTTCGACTATTTTTTACAAAAAAAATTATTTGGATGAAAATTGCAAATTGCCGATTACGTTTCGTTTGGGCAGACTCGTTAATGTTCGTGCACTGAACCTGCACAAACAGATCCAAAATTTCTTAAGCAAAAATTTTTAAAAAATATTGGAAGGTTTTGAAAACTGTCCTATTTTTGAAATTTTCTTTCACTTTCAAATGAAAGTTGATTTTAGTTCAATTTCTTCTCACATTCACTTTACTTCCCACACAGCGCCGAAACTTTCCTAAAAATTTATTAAAGATTTACTTGCAAACTTCGAAGTATTTACTCGAAAAGTTTAGTGAAAATTTTGTAAAGATTTAAATGTCCCACTTCAATAAATGTTTAGCGTGAAACTTTCCTGAAATTTAAAAAAAAAATTTCGCCTACTGTATATAGGCGAAAATTAAATTTAAATTTTCAGGAAAGTTTTAAGTTACATTTTCGCTTATAAGAGAGAAGTCGAAATTTTAATTTAAATGTTCAGGAAAGTTTTAAGTTAAATTTTTAGGAAAATTTGACTATAAACATTTATTTAAGTGGGACATTTGAATCTTTACACAATTTCCACTGAACTTTGCAAGTAAATTTTTCGAAGTTTGCAAGTAAATCTTTAATAAATTTTCAGGAAAATTTTGGTGCTGTGTGGGTTCAAGTCACTATCACTTGACTTTCACTTTATATGAATTTTAATCCACTTCCACCTAATTTCAATTCACTTTAATTTACTGCTACTCCACTATCATTTCACTTTCACCCTGCTTTTACTTCACTTTACTTTCATTCCACCTTCACTTCACTTAACTTTCACCCCACTTTCACTTTACTTTATTTTACTTTTACCTACTTATTCACTTCACAGCAACTTAACTTTCAGCCCACTTACATTTTACTTTATTTTACTTCCACTTCACTGCAACTCACCTTTATTTCACTTTTCTATTATATCAAAGTGAAGTGAAAGCGAGGTGAAAAGGAAATGAGGCGAATATGAAGTGAAAATGAGGTAAAGTGAAATGAAAATAGGGTAAAAGTTATGTGAAGTGAAATATAAAGAAGGTGAAGTGAAAGGCAAGTGAAATAAAAAGTGGGATGAAAGTTAAATGAAGTGAAGTGAAATAAAAGTGGACTGAAAAGTAAACGAAGTGAAGTAAAATAAAGAAGGAGTGAATGTCAAGTAAAGTGAAATGAAGGTGGGGTGAAAGTCAAATGAAGTGAAATGAAGGTGGAGTGAAAGTTAAGTGAAATGAAATAGAAGTGATGTGAAAGTGAAATGAAAGAAAAGTGAAATTACAGATTAGCACCCCAGATGATAACTTATCGACTAGGTTCTCTGTAGATAACTAGAGCTCTTTATCGCTAATCAAACCTAATTGGACAATTTGAATTTTTTCCGTTAAAATAAATATCTTATTTTCCTTTGTTAAAAAAATTCACAGTTCGATGAAATGCAAACTGATAAAAAATAGTCGAAGTTTTCTAAACTTTCCCTTAATCTTTTTCTATATATATATATATATATATATATATATAAATTTGCCAATATAACATTCGCCTCTGGAAAGTAAAATTCCCACCCTCTAAAAAACATTCTTCAGCGACTATTCCGCAAATTTGCATAATTTAAACACAAAATCGAAAAATGGACCCAGATTATGAATTATAGATAAAAAAGAAAAAACTGCTAATGAGCAAATAGTCGTTAATCGTCGGTATTATATAAATATAAACGGTTTTTAGCTTGAGCTCGTGCAGTCCAGTCGCAAATTTGTATGTCGCCACGTAGAAGATCAGCTGACATTATACTTTTACAGTCACATTATTTAATCCTTTTTATAAATAATACAAAAAACCATAAATATATATTTTATGTAAATCCATATCCGAGAGAGGGTAATTCTCGGAGAGACTTGTGTATAGTGCATAAATAATGTAAACATAGACGACTTAAAAAAACTGTAATAAGGAAAGTTCTGAAAGAAACCAAAAAAAATTGAGGGAGGAAACTGAAATAAAAAAGGGAGGTATTTTGAAGGCGAAAGGACGAAACTGCGCTCTCTGTCGTATCTCTCTTTACATAATTAATGTTATATATATACATATAAATAATTAAAGCTAATGAATGAAATCGCAAATAAAAAAATAGTCAAGCCATTGCGATTGGATTTTTATCGAATTTACTTCATTACGATGAATATTTCTACACGTTCGTACATCTTCTTATAGTGTAAACGAATATAAAAAAACAGGTCTTCATCTATAAGAAATTAAAGGAACAGTTTTTTGCCATCGTATTATATAAATATATAATAAACGACAAAGATATGATTTAATATATTGCAAGAAAAGTACTATAAATAATTATAAATAAATATATAAATAAATAAATATATATAAATATAAATATTATAAGTTAAATTTAATGAATAGTAATTTCTACTACTCTAATTCGTCGCTTCTACGTGTGATTGTTGTATAAAAAATAGTTACGTCTTTGTTTTCTTTTTCATACTACAAATTATTATTATTATTATTATTATTATTATTATTATTATTATTATTATTATTATTATTATTATTATTATTATTATTGTTATTGTTATTGTTATTATTATTATTATTATTATTATTATTATTATTATTATTATTATTATTATTATTATTATTATTATTATTATTATTATTATTATGATTATTATTATTATTATTATTATTATTATTATTATTATTATTATTATTATTATTATTATTAGTATTATTATTATTATTATTATTATTATTATTATTATTATTATTATTATATTATTATTATTATTATTATTATTATTATGATTATTATTATTATTATATTATTATTATTATTATTATTATTATTATTATTATTATTATTATTATTATATTATTATTATTATTATTATTATTATTATATTATTAATTATTATTATTATTATTATTATTATTATTATTATTATTATTATTATTATTATTATTATTATTATTATTATTATTATTATTATTATTATTATTATTATTATTATTATTATTTATTATTATTATTATTATTATTATTATTATTATTATTATTATTATTATTATTATTATTATTATTATTATTATTATTATTATTATTATTATTATTATTATTATTATTATATTATTATATTATTATTATTATTATTATTATCATATTTATCATATTATCATATTATCATATTATTATTGTTATCCCATTAGTAGAATTATTATCCAAACCAAAAGCATACAAAATTGTTTAGTTATTAGTAAAATAAATAAAAAAAATGTTATTAACAAACACCAATTGTACTGGCCAAATATGAGACAAGAAAAAATATTCCACTGTTTTAAATTTCTTCCTGATGCGATGTATCATTGCCGTATAAATTCATTGTCTACTGTGTAGTAAAAACTTGATTATTAAAAATTATAAATACGATTCTAATCGAGTTTAAAGGCGAATTGATGCAAATTACCTGTC